GCAAGCCTCAGCATTGTGAAGGAAGTGTCTGTTCTTTGCAGCTCAAAAACTGGGGTCAAATGCTGCTACAAACCAGGCAGCAAAGATTCACGGAGTTTGAACTGCATTGAATTCTAATTTCCTTGAAGATGTCTCCTTTTTCGTCCAGCTCTTGTTCACTTCACGCCTTCCTCTTTTATCTCTTTTTCCAAAAGAGTTGTATTTTATACAATGGTTAGTCCATTTCTTAGAGCATCTTCCCACTTGGGGGTGCCGTGGGGAAGTTGTTTCTTTTCTTCTTGACTTCCTTTTTTATTTTTTTAATTCTATTTAGTTTTTTTTATCAGCCAGCATTCTCCATTCTTCCCTCCTCTGTGATTTCCCAGACACGAGATAAATAGCCTTGTATCTTACAAGCTAAATACAATTACTGCTATCAAAACCAGAGCCTTTCTCTCCTTGTAAATGTCTCTTGGAAGCTGATAAGCTGTTCAAGGCAAACTACGGGCTTCTGCTTAATCCTGAGATTAAACATAACCACCCAGAAGACAGCAAAAGATAATATTTGTGGGGGAGGGGTTGAAGGGGAAAGTGAGATTCTCTCCTAAGATATGAGGAGAGGACATACAGACGACTCAAGGTTATTTGTAAAGGAATTAGCCAAAACTCAGAAGAGCATGAGATTATGATGGGGCTATTTCATCTGATAATGCCTAGGCTGTTGTAGATCCTAAAGATGAGATTTAGCAGAGAGACCTTTGGGACCAAATAAGAGAGCTGGGGAACAGAGATGTGTATGTATAGAATTGTGACTAGTCATTGGGGGAACTGATTCCACCAAACAGATCACAGTGTGGTTGCTAGGCAGAATGTAGACTGATCCATGGACTTCGCCATTCATGTTATTGCTTCAGATGTGACACTGACGAGGTTTGTGAAAACTGAAGAAGTGTCAGTTGTCAAGAATAAAGGATTTAAGTCCACCCTGCATCTATTATCAAAGACCTGTTTCTGGTGCAATATCACAAACATATACACCCTCTCGGCTTTTGAGCATGATTTTAGGGTTATGGTGCTGATGCCCGTACTTTTGCTTTTATTAGCGGCTTGGTTGTTTATTTCAATTGGCTTTGTGTTTTTACGGTTGCTTTAGTATAAAGCTTGTTTGCCACTTTGAAAATCTTATTGCATTTATTTGCTACATTTTAAAATAAACATGAGTCATCCTTCAATCTGAAAAGGGTGATGTGAATAATCATAATCATAAGAAACAAGGAAAGGATGGCTATTTCCCCTTGTGTGTGTGTGTGTGTTTAATCCATGGGGATTCTGATCGGCATTTGTCATGGGTGGCGTGATAGAATGGTATTTATTAAGGAATATGAGATGCAAAATAGCTTGATTTTGAGCATGGTATGCCACAGATACTTCTGTTACCTTTCAATCTATCACTAGGGTTGTAGGAGGGTTGCCCCATTTTAAGGAAGGTTTTGGGGAAATTCAAGAAACAGAATGTAACATGTATGCATACAACTTTATATGCACTTACCTAGGGATACAATGAGTTCAGCAGGAGATTTGTACTATAAATATCCCTTCTGGCACAGTGAACCAGTTGGTTTTACTTGTACCATCTCCTTCTACCACGATGTATACAAGATAATGAGGCATGTAACATCAGGCTAGATTTCTGTGTTACTTTAATCTTGAAAGGGGAAAAACTGGGTTGCCATCATACAAATGGTTTACATGTCCCATATCATAAATTACATGGTCCAGTTGGGTGCATAGACTTTCAGCCATACCCTCAGTACAGTATTGATGAAAGGAAAATGGGCAAACCAGTCTAGTCTTGACTAATGGCATCTGTTAAGAACTGATAACATTTTAGTCTATTCCAAGCATCATTTTCAGGGAATTGGCTAGATTCTAGTCTCTTTAAACTCCCTCTGCTCTTTATGGCATCTGTATTAGAGTCTATGAAGTGACCTTAACTTTGAATTTCCGTCAGTGTTGTGGGCAGTTTGAGAAGATCCCTAATGGTGCTTTTTCATAGCTGGCGTTTTCACTGATTAATTTTTCATCTTTTACTCATTTTGTGGGACTTAAATGAGCCCTCAAATGCTTCCCAGCCATGTGGATCGGAGACTGACAGCCTCTCTTCAGACACATTGACTGCATCTTATAAGAAGCTCAAAATAAATTAAAAGACTGAGTTAATAAAACAGCATTGGGGAAACGCCTGTTTTAGAAGATGGTGCTGTAGCATATGTTGAAAGATCTGCCAAGAGGAATGATTAAAGCATGACAAGTTGATGAAATCAAGAGCTGATTGTAGCTTGTCACCCCGGGGTTAGAATGTGTGCATCAAATTTATGAAAGCTAAATCGAAACACAAACATGATTGGGTAGCACATGTACATACAGTCACCTCTTCCCAGATGCACTGAGAAACTTCTGCAAAAGGTGGTTTGTATGCACGTACACAGGGCATATGTGTGTGAGAACACCACCTTTGCAAATCTTAGTAGGTTTGGGTCTTGGCAGTGCCTGAATGGATCACGCCACCTGAGAACCATATCTGTGGCACCTTGGGACCCATGACGTAAGAAATATAAATATAGAAACAACAACCCCAAAGCCAGGGACTGTAGCTCATTGGTAAAACTTGTGCTGTGCATGCAAAGGGCACTGTCATCTCCACTCAAGAAAAAAAGGAGCAGAGAGCAGGTACAGGAGCAGGTACAGCTTGCTACAACCAGAGAACACCTTCTGCTCACACAGCAGGCCTTCCTTACCCTGTGTCCCCATACCAGAATCTGGTCTGGGATTCCCCCCAACCTACTGGTGCATGTTCCATTCATGCAATGACTTTGTTGGATTCAACCTAATCTAATTAAAACCAGAATTTTAAAAAATACAGTACTCATCACTACTCCAGCACATGGGCTCTAAAATTAGCTACAGCAACTGCAAAAAGCGTACTGTGCAAAATCTGGAAACAGAAAGAAGCAGAACAATAAGAGTATTTCTGATGCTTTGGTTTCACTTCAGAAACAAGAGCAGCTCATCCAGAACAATAAAAACCAGGGAGATACTTGGATGAAGAGACTTTTGGAACCATCCCGCAATCCACTTATATGGCATATGTCAATAATTCTATCTCACTCTAAAAATAAGTCCCATTTTATGTGTTCTTGAATCTTTGGTTTTCCAGGCATAATTTGAATAAATAATTCCTTTTCTCTCTTTTGCTCCTTGCCATCAGGAGTTAAACAATCGTGTTTGTGTAGGTTGCCACAGCTGAGGAAAAGAGATTTGGGGTGGGGGAGAGAGAGAGATTGAACAAGGAAGGGAAAAATCTGTTCATGTGGTGGGGAAACATGACTGATACACTGACCACATAGCATGTGATGCAGTTCTGTGCATTGTCAGTGTGAACTATCCCCCCTTCTTTTAAGGGGAAAGGATGACATGAATTGTCGATGCACATGGCCATGTAATGTTACATTATAGGCATTGTGGGAACCGGTGATGTCATTCATCCTGTTTCCACAGATACATTTCTTCCTACTTTAGCAATGTGAGATTAATTATTACCGGTTCACCTGCAGATCATCTTATGACGTTTTCATGCTGTTGACTGCAAACCTTATGTGATGAGGGGCGGGTGTTATGGCAGAGATGGAGAAGCAGCCTATGTGGATCATTGCGCAGTGGGAAAATTGTGCATGACAGTTCAGCTCAGAGAACCTCCGGGTACTAATATTGCTACATTTTTCTGTCAGGTTACTTCTGTTTCAGTTTTCTGGTCAAATGGAATAATAACAAATATTCTGAAGACACACACACACACACCCCTCCACGGATGTGCGTGTGTGCGCGCGACACACACACACACACACACACACACACAATAAACAGCTGGCCAGAGGGCTTGGCAGCTTGAGCAATAACTTTGTGCTTTCCAGACCCACTGCCTGCAGAAAGAACAGTGCCAGCTACAATCCCAGCCCAGCCCAGATGACGTGCAGTGGTGACAGAAGGAGCTTAGACACACATGTCAGCATTTCCTTTGCTCAAAGAAAGGCTGCAGAAAACAAAGCCATTCGGATGAAACAATATGTTTTTGTTTAAAAGGAAGAGGATCAGTTGTTGGAGAGCGCTCTGTCCTAGGTTCATGATCTTGCTGCAGGATTTGGGAAACAACTGAGCTCTGAATTCAGTAGTCAAGAACTGAGGCTAGTGGGCCAACTGTTCAAAATTATAGGAGAAGTCTTCTTGAGCATGCATACTTTGCCCACAATAATCTAAGCATGTAGGAGGCGAAGGGGCAGCACATCCTGTGTCTCCGCCTGACACGGAACAAGAATGTGCCACGCCACAACACCAAAGCATCCCTTAACCTGTGGCGATGACCATGGAGGTTTCCGGTGAGATCTTGATGAAAACTGGCACCGTTTCTCCAGTGATGGCAGAGCGCCCATGGGGGTGTCAGATCTTTGGCTTTCACCGCCCAAGTTGGCTGCTTCACCTTGCCTAATGGCTGAGATGGCCCTGAGGAGGAGGGGCAGGGCTGTGTGTGCTGGCCCAGGCCTCACACAGTAAGATCTGAAAGGGGTTTGTAAGTAGATTTTCCTGTATGTACCACACTGGGAGAGCCAGTGTGGTGGTGTGGTTAAGAGCAGTGGACTCGTAATCTGGTGAACCGGGTTCAATTCCCTGCTCCTCCACATGCAGCTGCTGGGTGACCTTGGGCTAGTCACACTTCTCTGAAGTCTCTCAGCCTCACTCACCTCACAGAGTGATTGTTGTGGGGGAGGAAGGGAAAGGAGATTGTTAGCCGCTTTGAGACTCCTTAGGGTAGTGATAAAGCGGAATATCAAATCCAAACTCTTATTTATTATTATTATTTATTAAATTTGTATAGTGCCCTTCATCCGAAAGTCAGAAGGTGGTTCACAGCATAAAAATAAAAAATGAGAACACAAAGTACACGGTAAAACCAGTAACACCCTCTCCCACAAACAAATTTAAAAGGCCATTGTCTCCATGATTTTTTTAAAAAAAGCATTCATTTACAAAGGCAGATGGGTTGTTTTAACTTCCTCTTCTCCACCTGTCCCTGGCAATAAACTGGCTTAATTTTAATAAGCAACAAAACACCTTTGATTAAATTGTAATTAAACAGCACTTCTTTTACAGTTCCTGATCTGATTGGCTGCTTTCCCTCTATGTCAGTTCCAGGTTGTTGTTTTAAGTTTTAATGGTTTAGCTGGATTTGAGTTGTCCAAAAGAAAACAGGTATATTATACAAATATTCTTTCAATTAATCATTTTCCTGCTTCAGTGTGGTGCCAGTGTGGTGTAGTGGTTAAGAGCGGTAGATTCATAATCTGGGGAACCGGGTTCGCGTCTCCGCTCCTCCACATGCAGCTGCTGGGTGACCTTGGGCCAGTCACACATCTCTGAAGTCTCTCAGCCCCACTCACCTCACAGAGTGTTTGTTGTGGGGGAGGAAGGGAAAGGAGATTGTTAGCCGCTTTGAGACTCCTTAGGGTAGTGATAAAGCGGGATATGAAATCCAAGCTCTTCTTCTCTTCTTCATAGGCACTATGAAACTTTGGTTGATGTTGGTACCTGGCTTGTTCAAACTAGATCAGGAGGAGGGCCAGCGGAACAAGCAGAAGACCCACTAGACATGGGCCCTGCCACTAAGCCAGAGACTCTTGATCTGGGTTCCCCTGAGGATCTGTCACATTCACCATGAAGGCCCTATGTCTCCCAGTGCCTGTTCACACACAATGCACCCACAATGCATCTGGCTACAGGCCAGATGAATCTTTCTGACTTACTTCTCAGAAAGGAGAAGAAACCATTGAGAGGTAGATAGGGCAACTTCTTCTTGTTGGAAGAAGTTGTCAGCTTAGAGCTGTCCAAGGTCCTACTGTACCAGCATTAGCACATTGCCGACTTACCTTGTTGATGGCCTGATTATGGCTGCCATCCTTTTTGACACCTGGGTCTAAGCTGCAGGAACACCCGTTGGACCTGTGAGCTGCCACTCAAGCTCAGTGCACTTACATATTCTGGAGTGTGGAATGCGAGGATTAAGTGTGAGGTAGGGTGAGGTAGTGGGTAGTGTTTTTGGTCACAGAATGGGAAGACTGGGATTCAAGTAGATACTCAGCCATGAAGCCTACTGTTGGCTTTAGTCTGGTCACTAACTTGTGGTTCACAGCCAGCAAAATTTCTTAAGCGTCCTTATAAAGTTACCAGTATAGATGTTTTACACTACAGAATCTGGAATGTTGTACATTTTGTGCCAGGGAACTTAAAGGAAAGATTCAGCAGAAAAGTGGAAGTTAAGAAGTAGGATGGTTTTTGTAATCATAAAGGTTTCTTGAGGCCAGGAGAAACTTAGGGACAAGTTCACCTGGGTGATCACAGGACTAACTTTAGTTGACTTTCTTTTCTCACTCCACTGCAGTCTTGCCTGCTAATTCTGTCTCTTGTTCCTGGTGCTTTTTAGTGCCCATGTTATCTTTTGTTCCAAAGCCTGTGGGTTGAGGTAGCCTCGGTGTGAAGTTCAGCTCTTGACAATAAAAGCATCACAATGAGAGGAATGAAAGACGAAGGCGAGGCTTAAAGGAAATGGCAGGATCAGAAGGAAAGAGGAGGTCAAGGTCATCGTGGACTAGAGGAAATGAGAGGACAGAAAAGAAAAGCTGAACCAGAATAGCAAGTTCTCTAACTTTTTCAAACAAGGAATGCAGTGAGAAGAAGGACAAATACTTGGGAACTGAAGCAAACTTGAATAATGAAAATAGTTTTCTCTTCTGTTCAAGTCCCTTAATGATGCCTTTTCAGTGGGGAAACTGAAGCACAAGTAGGTTACCTTGATAGGTTTGTGCAAAAGTTGGGAAAGAAATGAGATGGCCAGGCAATTTCTTGCAAGGCTAGCTGTACTTAGTTGATGCCTCTCTTTATGGGCTTTTCCTTTAATTTTCAAATGGACTGCTCTGTGGACAGACTAAAAACAGCTTTAACATAAATTATTCTTTGCAGGGAATAACAAACCTAACAACATTATCAAGGAAAACCTGAAAACACAGTACAGTGTTCCAGGATGCACTGATGATGATGATTTCAATTTATATACCACAAGAAATCTGACATATTTGATTCAGATCGTAAGATCATGCTAGTTAGTATAGAATTACGATAGCTTTTATTACAACATCCCTGTTTCTACTAGTGAACCACTAAGGAGTGGAAGCAGCAGCACCCATCTTCAGATTTATGCTCACAGTGGACTTACATTATCACCATCCCTTAAAGTTTTGCAGTAATAGTGTTCAAGATTTGACTAGCCTGGGATAAGTGCTGAAGCCATAGGAGTTTGGCTTGGCTGGGCAAGACAGCAGTTTTTATGGTCTGCTCTTACACAGCCCCTTCATCTCTCTCATTTGTAATTTCCTGACAGTGAACTGAATACCTTCTTTTCAGGGGATTACCTGCCCCTGCTTTTGGGGAGGCACATTCATGTGACTTTCATGAAGTCCAGTATGGTGTAGTGGTTAGAGTGGTCAGACCAGGACCTGGGAGACCAGGGTTTGAATCTCCATGGTCATGAAGCTCACTGCGTGACCTTGGGCCAGTCACCCACTGTCATGGTATTGCTAGAGAATGAAGGGGAGGAGCAGAGACAGGCAGAGGAAGGGGGGCAGGAAGTGGCGGTGGAGGAAAGAAGGGAAAGCCAGGAGGAGGGACAGCTCACAGATGTTGGACCAGAGCCTCAACACCACACAGGAAGTTCTGGCACGGACAGTGAAACAATGCCTGTTCCGTCTGCCAAGGAAAGGAGAGTGTTAAAGAGGAGGGGACAGAGACATCACATGAAAATTCCACGCCTTTTCTGTTGGAGAAGGGGCAGGCATAAGGCACTCCCAGAATCTGAGCCGGAGGATTCGGATGCATGATTGTAACGTGCTGCTTGTACATATGTAAAATAAAGACTGTATATATGTATCTCTGAGTGAGCAGAGGCATTTCTTGTGGAAAGAATTCACAAGCCATCACACTCACTCTCAGTCTAACCTACCTCACAGAACCATGTACACCACCTTGAACTCCATGAAGGAAAAGATGGGATATAAATGCAATAAAATAAGTAAATAAGGAAGTTTTGGGCACATTTCTTGCTTCTGGTATTCTGAGAAGTTACTGGAAACTTCAATAAATTTTGCCTGACTCTTGTCAGCTTTCTGCTTTCACCCCTCCCCCCACCCAGTGTCTGGGGGTGGGGTGAGGGGATGGCCAAAAATATTGGTTCAGCACTATGCTGTTCCTAACTGCCTCAGCATCCCATTATGCCCACTTGTGCACTAGCCAGCCATGATATGGGGGAATGGTAGTAGGTTAGTGGTAGGGCATCTTCCCAAGTTTCTATGCTGACATGGATATCCTGAGGTGCCCAGCAGGGAGAGGGGGAGATCATTATTCAGCTATCAAGGCTTTTAGGCATTGATTGATCCATGGTCAAATCACCTTTTAAAAGGCAGATGGCCACCACCTGGCACAGGGCTTGCAAATCTGTTGTCCAGAGAGCCTAGCAACATCATTATGACATCAGATGATTGATAGGTGGGTTGTCCTGCCCACCTGTCAGAGTTGGCCTGTGGAGGTGGCTGAAGATTAGCATCTGGCCTGTCAGGCCAAACAAATCCCCTGTCTCAACTTACACAAAACTGATAGCGCCCCAGTTGTAGAATACTCCCCCTACAGTAGATAGGTTCTCTTGGTACCTATTTTCTTCTCATTTTTCCTCAGCTTTTTCGATGTCGCTTTAATCCTTCTGACTGTTTTATGTTGCTTTTATAATCTTTTAGCATTTATTTATTTTTTGTATTTACATTTTAATGTATTGGGTTTTTTTCTAAGCCACTTCAGGGAATATGATTGAAGGGTGGTATTAAAAATACTTCAGAGTATCTTTTAGAAATAAATATTAGTCACAATTTCTCCTTTAAAAACATGTCTTTTACGTCACCGTGAAGCATTACTTTTGTTTTCTTGGATGCCAAATTGCACTGCCTGCCTTGATAATTTAGAACAGATGTGTGTGTGTGTGTGTGTGTGTGTGTGTTTTGTGTAGCATTCTTATTAGCATCTTCAAGAAGAAGAGAGCACATCAGATTGTATTCATATTCCCACCTGGAAGCAAATGCCCAGTGCAATTTACTGGAACTTTTGAGCCATTCTGCTCCACTTTTAACAGCGGTAAAAGTGTTCAGACCAAGATGCAACGTCTGTCAGTGTCTGAATTGTTCTTTTATTTCTGCAGTCTGAGAACCCATTTTGGCTTAGAAACTGGCTGCATGAACTAAAGTCTGGATTGAGATCGTCTGAGTTTTTGTTGAAAGGGGCAGGGAGGGAAGAAAGAAAACACGCCGTTTAGCTGTGCAGGAGAAGAATCTTTGTGAAATGCTGAATGAGAAAAAAATAATACGAGTGGTAAGAGTTGGGAAATGCTAACAGAGTGAGACAAGCTGAAGTGGGTTAGGATGGGGCAGAGTATCCCTCCATCAGCAGAGAGGAGTTCTGTCTGTGATGCTCACACCAAAGAAACCTGGGTGCTGAAAGTTGTTAGGAGACCCCTCACAGGGACAATTTCCAGCACAGACTTAACAGACTTCGGTTCCCAGGATTATTTGAGGGAAGCCATGACTGTTAACATAGGGTACAATTGCTTTAAACCTATGGTATGGATGTGGCCTTAGAGCCTGGCCCAGTGGCGGAGCTTCATGCTCTGGCACCAGGGGGTGGAGAGCAGGCCAGGACAGGGCTGGCACATGTCCCGGGGTGTGACTCACCACCTGTAGGGGTATGGCGCATGTCCGGGGGGCGTGGTTTGCATCCTGGGGGCAGGGCATGCCGCCTGCAGGGGCATGGCGTCCAGTGTGGGCGGGGGGGAGCAACTGCGGTACGCTCCCCGTGCACTCCTCTTCCTCTGCCAGTGGCCTGGCCAACATAGATTTCACAGGTGAAATGAACAGGCCTTTCTTTGTCCTCTTGCATTCTCACACTGCTTTTATCCATGTTAGCAAAGGGGATGTGCATACCTTTGCTGGGTCTATCTTCTATTTAGCTTCTTGCTGGAATTTTAGAAAATATATTTGCTTTGTGACTCAAACAAAAGATCTTCATCCTTTAACGTTTGGTGTCAGAAGCATCATGGATGAACTAGTTCACACACTTTCCTGGCCAATATGCACATATAATTGCTTGGGCAATCAGTGCAGTATTAGAAGGGATGATTCCTGTGAGCTCATGACTCCTCCTGCACACAGGAAAGGTGATTGCTATTCTGCTGTCAGACCCGGTGGGATATACACCACCAAATTAATTAATTTCTGGTTTTCAGAAGAGGGACTCTATCGTCTCAAAGATTACTTTCTTTGACATTACTCCTCTTGTAAGTAGACTCTTCTTAGCAGTTATATACTTAACATTGACTAGGAAAGACACCATATGTACCTGTTCAGAGTCATGCTAATTATATGTGTAATGATATACTCTTCATTCAGATGGCTTGGGATATGCAGTTCTATTTTTCTAGAACAATAGTTGGCGGAACTCACCATGAACACCAGCCACCCTTGTTCTCTTAGAACGGCAAAGATGCTCACCCGAGAGGTGCTGGAACTGAGTTTCTGTGAGTTCCCTCTGAAAAAAGCACTAGATCTTGGTGTGTGAGAGCATTGGATGTCTGCATTTTGTGCTTCCAATGTGACATCTGGAGAGGAAATTTGTTTGTCACTCTTCTGTTGATATTTATGGGGTATACAAACATTTTATGACCATACATAGGACAGACACACAACTTCCTCCTTCAGTTGTCACACCAGAAGCATAACAAGCAAGGGTATGTGAATCACTTGTGTATCCGTTCCTCATAACTATTATTATTATTATCATAACTAGTGAATCCTTTCTCCGTGATAATGTTATAATCTGTGGAAGCCTCTCTCCAGCCCTTCACCATATGTAGTTTAAACTTACTGAATTATACTTATCCAATATAAGACGAGATTAATATTTGCAGGAAAGCCTGTGAATTCAGTTTGGTGGTGATAGCAACATTTCTAGATTGATCACTTCTTTCTTCCAAATATAGATCAGGCAAAAGATGGTAGGATGTTTTCAACGGTTATTATTCCTCCATAATGTGTTTTGCATTGAGATACAAATGATGAATAGATTACTGGGGGTTGATTATAAGAGGCAAGGAAGTATGTACAAAGGGGAAAGGGTTTTAAAATCACTTTGGCCACAAGTAGCAAAAATAAATCAGTAGATTATTATTAATGTTTTATGAATGATGAGTCTGGTCTCTGCAGTCTTTCCACTTACATGAGAAGATTCCATTGGTACTTTATTGTATAGACACTTTCCATTAATGTCTCTTCTCTCTGTCAAGAATCAGATTTTGACTCCAAAAATATAAATGAGATGTGGGGAACCTTTGGTCCTCAAGACATTGCATCCCTTCCTCCCTAGCCAATGGCCATGCTTGCTGGAGCTGATGGGGGCTGCAGTTCAACAACATCTTGGAGGGCCAAAGGTTCTCCACACTTGATATACAAACAATCAAATGCTTATTAAAGAGGTGGTTATTTCATAGAGCTGTGCTTCAGGGGACAACATATTGCCCAAGGTCACCTAAAGTACTACTGCTATGACATTCATTCTCTAAGATGACCAACCAAACTATCCAATCATTTTATGAACTATGGTTGAATGTAATTTTTCCTGTAAAAGTATTTTTGTTTCCTGATAAAGTCTGTGTTGTTTTCATTAAAGTTGCTGCATGGAAAATAATAATTTGAAATGCAAAGAATATTTTAATGAATGAGATTTTTGCAACTGGCACAGTTTCCTTCTCTACTGAATATTTTATGTGTACAGTGATAATGAGAAACTTGTCCTTTAACTCAGTCTTGTCCATGAAGTACGGAGATGAGCACATTCTCATGCACATGTTCTTAAAGCTTTCTGAATAATGGTTCAGATAAATGGGGGAAAATAAAGTTAAAAAGGAACATGAAAAGGTGCTAATGCTGCAGTATAAACTTACTTGAATTTTCAGGTGTCATTTGATTTTTCCTAGCATTTTTCCAGGTATGGGATTACTGAAAGTTGCTTTCTGCAAAAAAGCAAAATAACAATAATAAAACATAAACTTAAACATAAATTTAAAATCAAAATCTTTAAAGATGTGGTAGAGACTAGTTGTGCATTTCCTGGTTTTGAAGAAGGTCTAGGTTTTGACTGAAGCAGGCATTTTGAGTTTTCTTGCAGGGTTTGGTACCTTATACATGTATGCTATACATTTTTCAATGTAAAGTATATTGAATTTAAATTCATGGAATTTAAGCAAAATCTTTTAGTAGCACTCCACTAGACCCCTTGTTCCTTATCTTGTGAATGCATTTTCAAAATCACTGGCTACAATCCCAGATGGTGATAATCCTTATTGACTGGACTTACTGCAAGAAGTTGGGAATGAACAACAGGAAATGAAGTGTTCCGCTTTCATTTTGAGTAGTGTACATGTCCAATCATGTGACTGAAATAGGTGGCAGGGCTGGTGGCAGCAGTTAGGCTTCAATCCCAGACCTTGTGGGAACTGAACTCGAACGCAGCCCTTGAAGCCATTGCTTCAGCTTAGCTCACCTCCTTGCTGGAAGGGAATTCCCAGAATGCGACAGTAATATTCCCACCATTTGAGATTGTCTCCAACAAAGTTTTACTCAGAGTAGATCCATTGAAATTAATAGACCTAAGCTAGTCATGACAATTAATTTCAACGAGTCTGCTCTGAGTAGGACTAGCGCTGGACGCAAACAAGTAACTATAGCCCTTTTCACGTTTTTCTTCTTGGGTGTTTTTTTTTTTTAATGTTGGGGAAAGCTCATACATGAAAAACTGCCTTGTACAACAGATTTGGACTGCTGGTCCTTCTAGCCCAGTTAAGTCTGGTTATACCAGCTGTACCACTCCAAGGTCTCAGCCACTGGTCCTCAGCCAGCTGCTTGACATCTTTCGCTGGAGATGCCAGAGGATAAAATGAGAATGTCTCCATACACTCTACCACTGGAACTGAGGGGTGGCTTCCCTCTCTTCTGCTGCAACTGAGCACCCACGAAGACCAGTGAGAGATTTACCCAAGATGAGAATTCACAATGATTTATTTGGTCCAGAGGAAGGTTCACTGCCCACTTTTTCCTTTAAGACCTTATTCATTATTTTCTATCTGTTCAAGTCATAAATACTGCCAAAGACCTAATCTCACGAACAATTGATTCTCTTTGGCACCCTAATTTCCACAATTTCTATATAGACGTCTACATTCCCTAATGCATGCACATTTTTTTTATATAGTATGCTATATATTTCTGCCTATCTAAGCTGGTTTATATAGGTTCAGACTCGGCAATTTGTTCTTCGTCATCATGTTCTTTTTCAGTCCCTTTGCTGCACAGGCCTTGTTGCCAGTTATTATACATATACAAAGAAATAATAGGGTGTAGTTTTGGGTCTCCCATCTTCTGACCACTTATAAGGTATGGTCCTGCTGAATGGTCAGTGAAGTGATTCCAAAGTAATTGCATTCTTGATCTATTTTTTTTATTAGAATTCAAATTATTCTGGATTGCTGGCTACATCCTTTCAGGTGTATCCGTATGCCTGAGGCAACCTCCTACAGTGACTAATGC